TGTAATTCTGCTTTCCATGCTTATCAGTTTGTTATTTATTTCATTCACAGTATTCTTTATTACTGTTATCTCAGATATCAGCTCCTTCTTGTGTCTCCTCAATTCTTTTAATCTCTCCATTAATGTCTTGATATCTAGGTTTGTAGTTTGAAACCCTTCATTCTCGGAGCTCTTCATTGTTTGCATTCCGTAGTCAGTTTTCTCAGTGTCTGCCCTTCCAGGGGTTGGGAAAAACCCATACTCTTCTTTTGGTTTTTTTTCATTTGTGTAAATTTTTCTCTCTCTCCCTTTCCCTCCCCTTCTTTAATTCTGTTTTTGAGGCAAGATGGGGTTGCTTTTGTTTCACTTCTGCAATATCCTGTTCTTCCTTATGAGGGTCTTCTGGCTTTGTTCACTTTTGAGGTTAGAGTGTGGCCTGCGGACTGTACTTTTTGCAGTTTTGAGGTTTAATTGAAGGGGAAGCTGTGGTTCATAATGTATATGCTGATTCTAGCATCCAGTGTATGAGCACACTGGAACCTATTTCCCTCTGCTTTACAATTTGTCCGTGCAGCAGTATGTAGGCTTGGTCCCTTAGGAACCGAGGTGGGGGTTGTTGATAGGTGGGTGGGGCAATGGAGATCTCTACCTGGAGAATGGTGGAGGGAGGTTCACTTTCACAGATCTGTTTCTCTCCGCCTGTCTGGGTCCCCAAGCTTGGGGTCATGCGCTGAGTGCCTTACCCAGGGTGGGCCCAGGGCTCCAGAGCTCCAAAGCTCCGAAGGGCAGGCGGTGAGCAGTGATAGTGGCCCTGGGCTCCCCACAGGGTACTTCAGCCAGGAATGGGACCGGTATCTCTGAGGGGCGGGTGCCCAGAGCCTCCCTGAGTGACCAGTGGCTTGGTGCTGGGTGCTGGGTGGGAGACGATGTAGCCAGGGAGGGATCTGAGACCCGAGACTCCCATGCAGGTGAGAGTCGCGTACGGTGGAACAGCCGCAGCAGGGGTCGCAATATACGGCCCTACGTGGGACCTAAGGTCCCCAGACCTCAGACCAGCGTGGCTGGTGGTGGGCTGGAGGGTGGGGGAAGAAAAGTAAGAGTCTTTTTGGGAACTCACATTCGGAGAATCTCACAAGTCCACCTGTGCCGTCTTCATCTCACTGGAACCCTCAGGTTAAACATTTCAGGAAGTTTACTACATAGGAGATGTCGTGTCCTTCTCATTCAATCACCATCAGGAATATAGATTTGTCCCTAGTATTAGTGGTGCTTGTCTTATTACTGGTGATATTAAGTTTGATCTCTTGTTTAAGGTGGCATCTCTGTCAGACCTTTCTATTTGAGGATCTCTCTCCCCATATAAGTAATATGTTATCTGTCGAGTGATACTTTGAGAACAGTGAATATTTTGTTACCCAACAACTTTTGATTTTAGTATCCATTGGTAATCTTTGCTGATTCAGTTATTACATTGGTGGTTGCAAAACTGTGTTTTTCATCTGGGTATGTTGGCTCACACCAATAATCCCAGCACTTTGGGTGGCTAGGGCAAGAGAACTGCTTGAACTCAGGAATTTGAGACCAGCTGGGCAGTACAGTGAGACCTCATCTCTATAAAAATTTAAAAAATTAGCTGGGCATGGTGGTGTACATTTGGAGGCTGAGGCCAGGGGACTCTCCTGAGCCCAGGAAGTTGAGGCTGTGGTGAGCCATGATTGTGCCACCACACTCTGTCTGGGTGACAGAGTGGGACCCTGATTGAAAACAAGCAAACAAACAAAGAAAAAACAAATAAAAAAACTCAGTGTTTTTCTAATTCTGTCAATCCTTCTACATTTATTAGCTGACATTAAAGACAATGTCTCAACTCACACTTTAAAAATTATCTTTATGGACTCATGGATTTGTGTTATGATCTATTATAATTTTTAAATTAAGAATATTTTGTATTGAGGTATGATTTACATACAGTGAAATGTGTGGATATTAAGTGTACCGTTTGATTAGTTTTGACAAACGTTTATGCCCATGTAAAGCCCATCCTAAACCATAAAAAGTTTCCTTTGACCCTTTCTCAGTTGTTCTCTGACCCTCCTACCCTCTTGATTTCTTTATTATTTTCTTTGATGGTTAAATTGCCCCAAATATTGGCAATGAAAGCCCCATCCAGGGCACTGTGTCCTTGACATGTCCTCTTTAACCTGTGAGCACTTTCTTACTTTCAGATACAAGAAGGTGTTTTATTTTATTCTTTTTAACAACTGAAATTATAGTTTGTCCTCTGTATCTGTGGGTTCTATATCAATAGATTCAACCAACCAGTGATTGAAAATACCCTGAAAAAAGTTTCCATAAATTTCCTCAGAGTAAAATTTGAATGTACCACACATCAACTACTACGCTGAATCTATGCAAATGAAGTGATGCGTAGGCATTGTGTTAGGTGTCTTAACTAATCTAGAGATGATCTAAAGTATATGGGAAGATGTGCATAGGTTATATGCAACTGCCATGTTATTTTATATAAGAGACTTGAGCATTGGCTGATTGTGCTATCTCTGGGTGATTCTAGAGTCAATCCCCCACTGATTCCGAGGGATGACTATATCTAATATTATGGAAATTCTTTTAATAATTTCCCCATTAGTGGGCTGTAGGGTTTACTTTTTATTTGGTTACAACAATGCTGCAGCAAACATCTTGGAACACATATTCTTGTGTACTTAATGTGAGCATTTTTGTAGGCTAGAACTCTAGAAATGAATTTTTAGGTTAAAGAGTATATATGGTTAAATTTTTGATTGATTTTGCCAAATTCTTTCCTTTCCTCTTAAAAAGCAGTATTGGCCGGGCTCGGTGGCTCAGCCTGTAATCCCGCGCCTTTGGGAGGCTGAGGTGA